ATTGGCGATGTACGGAAAATATATATGGCTTATGTTGGTACAGAGAAAGAAGAAGGTACTTTTCATGTACTTTTTAAAACTCACCTCTAAGTGTGAAAAAGATTGCTTCCACAATATTTGCCTACAAGAAAGTGCAAGTCGAAATAGGAACAAAAACCGCTGCCTTTAGAGGACTTAGTGATAATATACTTGAAACGAGTGTGGCAAAAGATTGGTAGGTAAAGAGAGGTGATTAAAACTTATGAGATCCATGACAGACCTGTAGCGAACCTAGTGATTGCAGATGCCGCTTCTTAAAACAGTATGCCAGTGAATATGTTTCCAACCGTACCCCGAAGTATTGCTCTATCTATAATAACTATATTCGTGATCATTGCACATTATTTTAAGTTTTATACATAAAACTACGTGAACTGTCTGTAAGGATGTTAAACAACATTCATATGCAAAGGAGCCCGACAAACAACCCAATGGTCGTGGATTCATATCTCCAGTACGGCGAAGTTTTTGCCACAGTAGCTAGCATTAATAGCATTTTACGTAACCAGCTCATCCTAGGAACTAAAGATAATGCTGTTCTCACAAAGCTCCTCTCGAAAGATATAACGCATTAAAAATACTAAGCCACTGAAGAAACGCAAAAGTACAGTTGAAATCTCAAATGAACAAAAAAGTCCTGCAATTTATGACTGTTCTGCCATTTTAAGGCCATCTTTACAAAAAGTACTAAAATCAGTAAAAATGTCAAGGTCAAAGCAATTGCTCCTGCTGGTAAACAGCGAAAACGGAATTTTTGTTGGTCGTATTGAGAAGCACTTATTATAAGAACAGATGACCCGATTCAACAATGTTATCTTAATAAAGAGCAACCAATTTAAGGTGAAATTAAATACTGCTGGTCAATGCAATGTTTTGTCTACAAAACTAGCTACAGCTACTATTCATCCGCGTAATGTTAATTGTGTCGTACCATTCTGCAACAACAAACTAGAACAAAAAAAGCGATGAAATAGCGTAGAGTAATGTCAAAGGAAACTAACACCAATTTCAAGATGGTGGGTTACAACGTCACCCCAAATTTGGTGCCAATTTGAATGTCCGTGTGGCTTAAAAAACTTATTTACGGCGTAGATCTGTCAAACAGCTGTAAATTTGAAATATTTTCAGCTTGGCAGAAAGGTCAGAAACGCAAAAGCAGTTGAAACTTTTTTAAGCTAGGCTATAACCAAGAGTCGAAAATTTAACGAAATAAGAATTTGCATTGACCACTAGTTGAGTACACTTGACAATATAGCAATGGACTTGCCGGGAAGGTTTTTGGAGTATGCCGCAAAAATCTTGCACACAAAATTGTTGACATATCGTACACCGCAAGATATTCTTATAAAAAATCTGCCGTTTGAAATTAGTTCAGCCCCTCAGATATTTCGGATGTAAACCATTTTTGCAATATCTCATCTAAAATTAAAAAAAAAATTGATCCGCTTTGCCAACAACCAATTTCTTACCTAAGAAAATGTTGTCCGTCAATTAAAGAACAAGTACGAGATAATTTGAGTAATACTGAAGCTATAACCATTAATAAAGGTTTGATGAAGATGGACTACTTCATGAATCATCTAAAGCATTGATACTAACTAAATTGAAATTAGAAATCTTAAGAAATGTTCATAGTAAGGACCTTACCTCTATCAAATTTAGCCAGTAAATGCGCTGATTTGATTTCCCAAAAAAGTGTTCGCTGTATATTTTATCGCATTATATAAGGTTAGAAAGCAATCACAACGCGTGACTTCGACATCGGACCAACATATTTGACTTCAAAACAAACGAACACACCGTTTCCACAGGGTGTTTTTCAGATTATGTAAAATACTGTAAACTGGACCATACAATTGCAATAGACCCTACACTTAAAAGTCGCTAATGGCCCAAAATTCGGTAGCGCATAATTTAAAGAATTCGTAATCAAACGGCAATTTTACCACGCAATCGGTTGATCATTTTATCTCCTTGAAAGTGGTTTACTAGAACAGACGTCCAAATGTCAAAAAGATATGCTCAGAAAATTCTCTCGCGATTGAAGGTCTCGTTAACTGTGTGAATAACTCCAAAGGCCTAGGGTCAAAGACATAAAAATTATTCGGCCGTTATCTTCGCAGTGCCGTGCTTGTTCACAAAAATTAGCTATTGACGTCCTTCGGTGACAACGTTACTCAAACACTATTATCAGAGATAAAGATACATTTTTTTATATATTACATAACTATACTATATATATTAAATGTATATTGCGGTCTTTAGTGGTTTTCCTTAATTTGTGTACTTTGTTTTCCGTTTTCTTCCGAATTTAATTTCATAAAAATTCTAATCATCAAATTTTGTATTTTCCTAAAAATATGGTATTTGACACGTACTTATATATACTTTAGTTATTATATTTCTTTATGTATTCCATTTATATCAATTTTATTGTTACTATTATTATTACATTGTGCTATTTATATTAATTTGTATTAAAATTTGTATGTGTTTATGTATATACAATATCTTTCAATGCGACTCTTGAGGAAAGCCTTCCTCTTAACGAGCCTAAGTGAAGTGGCTTTATATTCATTTTCTGAACTCGCAATCACTTTGGCCCTATTCATCGATACGTAGCAAGTGCCTTCATCTTCACCGTTGAACTAGTAGCCAGTGATCTTTGCTTGAAAACTTCGTTGGCAGATGCTGTGTTGGAAGCTAAGGGAGTGGACGGAGTCGTAGCAACTAGAACAGTTATGTCGGTTATGGCTTTAGCATTTTTGGGGACTTTTTTTGCCGTCTGCTATAAAGAAATAGGTCTGGTAATCCAGGCTCCACTATTAGCCTGAACTGTCTTGACAGTCGCAGCTCATTTCACGGACTTGCCATTTGACGAACGTACCCCACACTTCTTAGGATTCTGGTCTTCTTTCCTCAAATTGGCATCGTACGAAAATTAGGTCAAAGCGTGCAGGCACTTTGTTCAAATGTAATGTTGGAATATAAACAATTTTAACTGAGTTGCAAACAGTTTTTAAAAGGCCGTTTTCAATAATTTGGAATAGATTTACTGTGATCAAAATATGTTTTAGTTTATTTTATTACATTATTTTTGTATACTTTTCGAAGAAAGGAATGTTTGCTAATCCCTACAGAACAAAAAAGAAACGAAAAAGTAAGAAATATTCTCTTAACAGCTGCAGCTAATATACACTTTCCTATTATTATTAGCCGTATCGAAGCGCGGCATTGAAATTAAATTTGATTCTACAAGGTGTAAAAATGTAAATTGCAGCAGCAAAATCAAGCTAATTGCCAAGAATTTAACTAAAACTAAAAAATTGGCAATCAATGGATAATGGATAAGTCCATCGGCATGCTAATCATTGGTTAATAAGATGCTCGGAATAAATTTTTTATAATAAGCTAAGCTTAATAGGTAGTTTGCAAAAATTTTGACCAGCGATTTTTACAGTTAAAAGTGATTAGGAAATAGGAAATACCAGTGCACATAACGGTTAAATTCGATGGTTTTGACCTTCGTCTACATAAAATGACAGTTTTCCATATAATATTATTAAGTTAGTTAGCGTATAGCGATGCTAATCGTGGAGCGCTCAAAATTGCATTTTCGATCTTTGTTACTTTTGTCGTCTAATTTGAAGAAATTTAGCAAAGCCCACCATACAAGTTCAGAAACTCATTGTGATCCTGCTTCATCATATCCCAATTGTCGGTTTGGGTTTTAACGGTTTAAATGTGATGACGCGAATTAACTAAAAATGTCATTTTTTGGCGACTTATAGCGCGAATTTTCAAAGATACACTGCTGCAGCTCAAACGGAAAGCTCTGCCGCAACCAGCGTACTCACCAGATATAGCATGTTCTGATTATGGCTTGTTCATCGATCGATTCAATATGGCTTGACGGGCACGCGGCTCCGTAAAGTTGAAGTGCGAAAATGGATCGAAAATGGATCGCTGCCAAACCAACATAAGTTGCCAGAAATATGGTAAAATGTTGTAGAAAATTATGGAAAATATTTTGATTAATATAAATTGCACCAATTTTTGTCAGTAAATGCCTTTTTCATGTAAAAAAATTGTCAAAATTAATGCAAGCACGTAACAATATGTACTAATTGATATCTTTTAAATAAACCTGAAACTAAAATATATTATCTGGGTTATTGCATATCGAACATGAGAAAAAAGGTAATGTGAACACACAAGGATATGTAATCCTTTAAACTAACTAAAGGTTTCATAAAGATGAGCCAAAAGTGCGATTATAAGAAATTAACTATTTAAGCCTTTACGAACTTTGATTTTTAAATACAATGACGGATGGTTCTTGTTTTTAATGGAAATCTTCGAATTAGCTATAATTCTACACAAAAATTACCTTTGTATGAATTTAAATTAGAAAATCAATATAAAAAATATAGAATCTAATGTATATGTTATAAAAATCAGTTTCTTTCTGCTATCAACAATTTTAAAATCAAAAAAATTTAGAATCGCTAAACAATGTGCAATACCTTGATATCATTCATCAATAAAGCTATTTAAAATAAAAAAGAATTTGATTTTGTTTAAAAAACTGACGGTTATTCCATTTTCTACAATAAAACTCCGTAAAAAATCCCTTATCAATGAACCATTTTCCTAGAGAATTTGGACTACTACAAATCGGTCAGCATAAAATATAAATAGAAAATGATGATATAAAAATATGTCGCATAAAATAAATAATATGTTAAATCGCAGACTTATAACAGAAAGCTATATTGTAGCCAAATGATGCCCTTTTTCAATATACATGCCGTCACCTCCTAATAATCGAGAAGAATTTCGTTGTAACATATATTGGGCATTGACCTTTGACACCGTCAATTATTTATATAGATTCCGTACAAAAATGCAATTCGGTCAAATAGGTATATCTACTTATTACTTTGTTGGAATATACTTACCTCTGAATTGCTGGCTGCTGAACTTAAGCTTGGGGATATGGGCGCTGATTGTAAAGGACTAGTCGTACTACCACCTGATAAAGACGAACAATTCCGGTTACGCAACTTATTTGAATGCATATATAAAGAATTGCTACTGGCAGTACTGCTATTAATGTTGTTGATATTATTGACGACATCCAATGGTATGGCGTGTGCCTTGTTGTTATTGTTAGATCCTACGATATTGTAAGGTGATGCTGGTATTAGCTTGGTACTAACCTCCTCCGAACGACCGCTATTCGGCAGAAGGGGATGCGGCGCAACCATAGAGGATAATGGATCATTTACGTTGGCCGACTGCGTTGCATTACAGTCACTAGGGTATTTTACGTTATATCGCTGCTCAACATCAGCTGTTCGACAATATGTTAATGGACCAATATTTTTGTTCTAAAGTAGCCCAAAAATAAAATTGATCGACTTCACCCTCACTTGAATAAAAAACAAACTTACTGCAACCGGCTGACGATTCCATCCGAATCTTTTAATCGACTCGCTAAGATACTGATGAACTTGATATTTCTGTTTTTGTATTACATGGTAACGTGTAGGATTTTCCAAAACTGTCCGAACCTAAAATTAAGAGAGTGAGTAAATATATATCCATTTGAGCCTACAATCGTTGAGAATACACTTATTTTCTTATATCTATTTTAACAAAGTAACATAGAGACTTGATCCTTGGTCAACGTTCCGTTGTGTGCAACCGTAATTAATGCCTGTAGGCCTATGAACACTGAACATTGAAGGTGAAACCTAAAATTGAGTGGATGTTTTGCACTTCATCATGAGCACAATACCAACAAGTCTAAACTCTAGTCCACATATTAACTATTGAAATAAAGTGAAAGCACATTTCAGATTTCATCCGTGGTTTGATTCATTTATTTTTTATATCTTAAATTTATTTACTCCTATCTTAAATTTAATATTCATCCATTCAAAGTTAATGCTTCATTTAACTTTTGCTTTTAGAGCATTTTATTTTAACCAAGCGTTGTATTGTTAAAAAATCATTGATTTTTACATATAAATATTGACAATAATGTCTAAAGAAATAGAAACAAGAGTTTATTGTTGTATTTTCAATTAATCCCTTACGGCTTGGAGGTTTGCGAATATTTTGAAAAATGTGCTACCCTTCTACTTCACGATTATTTTCGAACCAGTGCCTATTTTACGGTATCCGACACCTCTTCTTTGCTGTGTTCACCGGATTAATTGTTCATCGAAATTAGCTCTTGTTTCAATTTTGCGGATCAACTGACAGAATGTGCTATAATCGTTCAAAATTTTTGACAATATTTTGTAGATTTGACCTTTTTATATCTGCGGAATGTTTCTCCTACCAATTTAATGCTTTTGATCTAGATCACTTCTCCGCTGAAATCGGTTGATCATAGAAATTTTGTCAAAACAGAAACATTGAAAAAAAAAGTTGATCAATCTGTCTTACGGATGGTGAAAATATATACAAGTTCTTCAAGCATCACAAATAATAATCGATAAATAATTATCAGTTTTGTGTGTTGTAAGGGAGCGTTTTTGCTTCCTTACGAAAAACAGGTCCGTCCGCCTAAAACACTTGCCCACAGCGAACAACCTGTCAGTCCGATCTGTCCGTGCACGTCTTTTTGTTATCAAACCATGAAAACCTCCTCCAGCATAAGTATAAGACAACATGCATAAAAGCATTAGAACAAAACTATGTATAAAAGTATAAATATAAAAAACTATGTACAAAGCCTTAGAACCCAACCTGTATAAAAGTTTAAATATAAGAAACTATGCACAAAGTCTCAGAACCCAACCTGTATAAATCTACAAACATAAGAAACTATGTACAAAGCCTCATGTACACTCACATGAGCACAAAACATACACCGAAACTACAGCAGCAATGCAAAAATGTATAGTACCGTTAGGGCAAACAAAACACACAGAAATGAACGTAGGTAGGAAAATAAGGGATAAGCAGATACATGCAAAACGAATAGACTTTAGCAAAAGCCTTTATGCTGTAAAATGTATAAACACATTGCACAGAATGTATAGTACCGTTAGGGCATATGGAATCTTCAAAGCTGTTAGGGCATACAAAACATATAGAAATGAACGTAGGTAGAAAAATAAGGGATAAGCATACACAAGCATGCAAAACGAATAGACCTTATCAAAAGCCTCTATGCTGTAAAATGTACAAGCACATAAAAAGCATATAAACCGCAGAGACACTGCACAAAATAGATACCACCGTTAGGTCGTATAAAATCTCCCAAACAATGTACAAAGCAGTAAAATTAGAAGAATACGCACATGTTCACAAGCAATGAAATGTACAGAATGTACAAACTATATAAACACCGCTACAAGTAGGAAATACATATAAAATTCGGTACAATATATGGTCATACAAACCATGCAGGAATGAACTTAGACAGGAAAACAAGGCCACACATGCTAAATATAGTAACACACACATATAAACCCTCGAGAGCAGAAAAATACACTGCGGGTATAAAACGACAGAAATGTAGTTGAAGTATTGAATACATATATTGTAAACAAGTACCTAACGGTGATACAAATCACGCGATTTGGTACCTGAGTACGTGTTGAGTAGGCACTTGGTCAACCATAGCAGTTAGATAGTTGTTAAGCAATAAGTTGATATTAAGTTTTGTACAAGTCGCTCATACAAGTCGTAACTGAGGTTGTGACAGCAGCCAACATCAGCTAAGCAAACGTATAAGCAAAATACCTCCAAACACAGAACATGTTGGCAATGGGACAAGCGAGCGAGACTCCGGTTATAAAAGAGCAGCACATTGCACAGAATCGTTTAGTTTGGTCTCATAGCCGTCTAAGGTAAGTGCCCATGGACAATTTGACGAATTGACCATTATGAAGTGTTTTTTTTTTGTTGACTTTACGGATAGGGGATGTGCTGGTTCAGGTTTAATCGCCATCCCTGAAGGACTTTTTAGGACTATTGACTTACGGATAGGGGATGTGCTGGTTCAGGATTAATCGCCATCCCTGAAAGACTGAGGAACACCCTTTTCTTTGGTACGTACATTCGAATGACCAACCAGAGACGAACCGTCGGCCCAGAGAGCCAAGGCAGCTATGACACTGGCAACATACTCGGGTTCTTGTAGTGTTCCGCGACATCGGAAAAATATATAACGCAAAGAAAGCTCTAACCACGTGGGTGAAATCAAAACGATAATAGCGCGACAAAGTCGGGTCACCTCGCTGGTTCCTTTTCCTAGCCAGCATCTACACAACGCTGTACCCCGCTTAATATACAATAAAAGGGAATTTTAAACCATCCCACCGAAGGTTCAGAACATTTCGTTCTAAATAAATATTCTTGCAACGAACCCCGGATTGACTGAGTTCCACCTCGGTTAAGAAGACTCCTTACAGTGTTCATTACGATTCCACTGCCAAGTTGTTTAACATGCAGTCCTTCGAAATATAGCTAAACGTTCTTGGAATGTGGAATGCATTGTAAGACGGTAACGCTTTGGTAGTTTCATCTATAGAAGGAGACAATCATTTGTTCATTAAAATTGCGGCGTGGTAAAATGTCTTCTGGTCTCATTCTTTGATTTTTCATTGTGTCTATTTTTAGTTGTGTTTGACTTTTTACAATCATGATTCCAAAATCGATATATATCCAATTAAAATCAATAATTCCTACCACTTTCAAGTATTAATACTTCTTCTTCTATTCAGCAAGCCAACAACCGAAAATTCACTAAAATATGTAAAAAACCCAATGTGAACACAAAGTTCTTTCTTTGAGTCTATGTAAAGTTGGGGTTAAATTTGATATATAATTATTATTATGTATTTGTTTTAAAATTTAGTTGGTCATAGTCTTTTTAATTTTACATAGTAGTCATTCGCCACGTAGGATAAAACAGCGAGGAGTAAATTCCGTAGTGTAAGAAATAATGTAGTATTTGAGTATAAAGTTTCATATAAAGGAATTGATAAGTGTGAGACCAAAAAAAGTGTAAAAGAGAATGGGTTTATAATTTGTCTATGAACGCTTATAGGGCTTGATAACATAATTAAAAAAAAGAAAAGACCGCGAGATAGGCTGTTAAATTGCGAGAACGCAACATGTTAATAATGCTGCGGTCATGAAGACCACATATGCTCAATTTGCGAAGTGCAGAATGGCGAAAAGAAGTGGTAACATTCGGACAGACAAATAGAATATTATTAGGAGATTGTAAGACCCCACATATACAGAAGAGCCCATTCACTTTGTTAATTTTGAGTAGATGAGCATTACGTCTTGTATGATTAAATATCAGCTGTTAGTAAAGCGACTAACGTCACGTCTGAGTCCGTAATTGATAAATACAAGGAGCTTTACTTATTTGTGGCAATAAAGTGCATAAGTGACGACCATAAGGTGAATTACTCTATCGGTGTTGTCAAGAAAAAACTGAATGCTTTTTCTTGATCGCTTCAAATCTGCAGAAATCAGAGCGCGATCATTAAAATAAGGTAGCCTGGAAAACATAATTTTACCTGCAGCGGTGGTGCCAAGAATGCCCTTGTGATTGGGTACCCAGAGAAAATGAAAGCAAACATGCATCAGATTTGAGGCTACAAAGTAGAGACCTGCTTTCTAACGGTGAGTTTCGAGGGAAATGGTTGCGAGGCGCATAAGGCAAATTTAATGTCTGACAAAATAAGAAATTTCTTTCTAAGTCGAGTACTCGCGAAGCTCCAGTATCGCTAGACATTCAGCCAAAAATATATTATTACATGGGTGATTTGAAAAATAAGCTTCTATATTAATATTTATATCAGTAAAGATGAGTTAAAAAATCTTCAATTTGGTATTTGATTAGCGTTGATGCACTTCTACGGGATTAATTATGGATTCTCTCACTAATAAGAACTTAATTAGTGGCCAACACTATTGACAACCAAAAGGAATTTTGAATAAGCTATGTACATCAGTTCTTAGAATGTTGAAGTTATTAATTTTGTCGGCAAAAATTTTAAAGAAGGAAGTAGAGGAATTGGTTGATATAAAGTCGTAAATGAAAGGTAAGGCCGGACGACTTTTAAAAGATGGAATTTTATTACATGAAAAATTGACGAGTAAATAAAAACATTCTTGTAGGAGCATAACATGTGCCATCTCTTCCAAACTAAGTGTGTGTGTAGATTTCATGCCACCAAGAGCCAGACGAAGGTATTTCCATTGCATTCTACATAATTTCAGAAGGTCCGTATTTTAAATGTCCAATAAGAGGGAACTAGCGTATTCTAATTTGGGCCTGAGTTATACGAGATACACTTTAATCATACAAAAAGGATCGGGGCTCCAAGATGTACCACAAATTGTTTTCAGTACGTTAAGGAGTTGAATACGTTGTTTGACAATTTTGTCAATGTGTACAGTAGGATAAATTTTCGAGTGTAGAACAAAGCCTAAAAAGTCGAAGATTTTACCAAATGGAATAGAAGAACCATATATGAGAAGAAGGTTTCCTCATTTTTTTTTTGAAAAAGACCAAGCATTTTGTCTTATTAAC